CCAAGGGGCCATGGGCACAACCTGAAGCAGAAGAGGTTCCCTTTGAATGTGAGGAAGAACTTGTTGACTGTGAGCCCTGGCCCAGGCTGCCCAGGGGGGCTGTGGAGTCTCCTTCTCTGGAGATCTTCAACCCCCACCTGGACGCTGCCCTGTGTAACATTAAAGGATCGCTGGGGAGATAAAAGAAGCCATTAAAAGGACTCAATAGGGAAAAGCAGCACCAAATGAGCTGGAATGACTTCAGCCCCTCCTTGTCCTCTCTTTCTTCTGCCTTCCCCTCGGCTCTTTGTGGCCATCGCTAACCATCCTGTGACGAAGGGGTCCTGCTCCTGCGGCTGCACCAGCCAAACCAGGCCCCGAAAGGGTCAAAGCGTGGGACCAGGACCTGAGGTTTCTCACAAGCCACATCTCTGCCTGCTTTTCTGCAGAGCCCAGAACAGCATTTATTGACCCCAGGTCCTCGCTGGCAGTGATGCTGCAGTTCACACGCTCCTCCAAGCCTCTGCATTCCATGTCCTGCGTGTCCCAGCTCCACGCTCCCCCTGCTCCCTGCCACCCCTCCCCAGGCTGTTCCATGCTGCTGGTTCAAATGCAGGAGAAAACCATCATTATCTTTTCTCTTTTACAGTTCAGCTCTGCAGGGCTGAGAATGATTCTATGATTCTATGATTCTATGAGACTCCTATCACAGAGGAGGCAAATGCATTGCTAATAACAGACCCAGATGTAGCTCGGATTTTATTTTCCGTGTGGGTCTGCCAGGAAACGCAGGCTACGGGAGGAGAGAAGTAATAAATGAAACGGCCGTGCTGGGTCGTTTATTGCCATGCCCCAGCTGAGCTGCTTGGGTCAGCTCTGTGCGCCGTCACACGGGCTGGCTCGCACCGCGCGAAAATCTGCCTGTGAATTTAGGGTTGCACATATTTGATTCCAGCCTTTGGGTCCCATCTCACTGAAAATTGACAACTTCAAGTCCTCAGGGCTCCTTAAGCACGGCGGGCGTGGGACCGCGTGTTGGCTCGTTAGGTGAGGAGCCCGGCAAGCGCTGGCCACCTGCGCGATACATTTATCTGCGCCGAGCAGCCTCCGCTCCACGCTGCCTTATCACACCGCCCCGCTGGCTCGCTTGCTGCTGAGCGGGGCTTGTGGCCCTTGCTTAGGATTCAGAAATTTAAAAAAAAAAAAAGAATTATGCCTCCTAGGACCCTGCGGCAAGGAGCTGAGCTGCGACTACAGATGTGGACCACCCCAGCCGGATCATAGTTTGGGGCTGTCAGGCTCTGGAATGGGCTGCCCAGGGAGGTGATCAAGTCCCCACCCCTGGGGGGATTTAAAAGAAGGGCAAATGAGGTGCTTAGGGACAGGGTTTAGTGGTGGGATGGCAGGGGGAGGTTAAAGGTTGGACTCGATGATCTTAAAGGGCTTTTCCAACCAAAGCAATTCTATGGTTCTATGATAGTGATGGGCTTGTGCCACTGCTCAGTGTGGCTCCGATGAGATCCATGGGGCAGCATCCATCTGTAAGAGGAATGGGTCAGAGTTCCGGGTGAAACCTCCCAAACTGCCTACAGACAGACCCACGGTCCACGGCCTGGTCAGGGCAATTGCTGTGATTCTGCGATGCCCTACACCTCGTGTACCCGGGCTTTGCCTTTCTGAGCGTGGGCACACAGCTTCACCTGGAGCCTGAAAAACAGGAGAACACCCCCGCAGCTCAACGGGAAGGTGACAGCCAGGGTCAAACAAGTGCTTTTGGCCAGACCTTGAACTGGTTGGAAATGGATGCTGCTGGTCTGGTTGTAACATGGCGGGTCCTGCTATACTTAAGCAAGGCATTAATCCCCCAGCAGGGAGAGGCCAGTGAAGCCCCTGCCTTGCTAACACCGTACATGCACTAAAAGAGCAGTGGAGCCTGCCCCAGCCACAGCCTGCCCCGGCACCGGCATCCCGGATGGGCATTCCCTGAAGCCCGGAGCAGGAGGAGGCGGTCTCTGTTGCATTAACACCAGGCACGGCTGCGTGTCCATGGATCCCCAGCACAGGGCTCGGGTGTGGAGGGACGGGGCTGGCAGGCTGAAGAAAGGTGCCCACTTAGGAAAACGGACAGGGGGGGTCTCTGCAGGACTGCATGCCCAGAGCTGCAGCCAAGGGCAACAGCGCTCAGCATCCTCAGGAGGGTGCTCCCGTGCGGAAGGGTCTGCCGAGTGCCCAAGTTCACAAATCGGGTCGTCTATCCCATCAGAGACATATCCCTCAATTTCAGGGAGCCTCAAAGATCGGGTGCTGCCGGCACGGAGCCTGGCACATGGGTGGGAGCCCACTGCAGGCTGCAGGGCACGGGGTGGCATGTGCCTGTCCATGGTCAGCAGGCGGCCGCGGGGGGAGGCGAGGGAGATAAGAGGGCGTTGTGCCCTGAGCCTGCCCGTTAAGCAAGTCACGGGGCTTTTTCCTTGAAGACCACACCTTGCTGCAGACTGACCACTCCACGGACAGACCGACCCACTGCCGGTGGGGACCCCCGCGCCGGCCCCAGCCAATGGCCCCGCAGTGCAGGACGGGGAGGAGCTGCCCGCAGCGGATAAAAGCCTCCGTGGGGTCTGACGCTCAGCTACGGGGTCTGTGTCCTCCTGCAGCTCAGAGCAAAGCCGCCCGCCACCATGGTGCACTGGACAGCCGAAGAGAAGCAGGTCATCGCGAGCGGCTGGAGCAAGGTCAATGTGGAGGAATGCGGTGCCGAGGCCCTGGCCAGGTAGGTCCAGCTCCCGGGCACCAGCTCGGCTCCACCCTGGAGAGAGGAACTGTGGCGATGGCATTTGGGAGCATTAACGTGTCTGCTTGTGTCCCTCCTTCTCTCCCCAGGCTGCTGATCGTCTACCCCTGGACCCAGAGGTTCTTTGATAACTTCGGGAACCTCTCCAGCCCCACCGCCATCATCGGCAACCCCAAGGTCCGCGCCCACGGCAAGAAAGTGCTCACCTCCTTTGGGGAAGCCATCAAGAACCTGGACAACGTCAAGGCAACCTACGCCAAGCTGTCCGAGCTGCACTGCGAGAAGCTGCACGTGGACCCCGAGAACTTCAGGGTGAGCCGTGCTCAGGGCTTGACCCTCCCTCCCTCCATCCTGCAGAGTATCTCAGCACCCAGAGGGTTTCAAACAAGCATAAATGACACATATTCTGGTTACCAAAGAGAAAGGGGCTGTCTTGGATGGAAGCTGGGGGAGAGGGGAAGAAGGCTGAGCATTTGATAATGCCGGGGATATGCCAAGCTCTGGGCTGTGAGGGGTCTGGGGACAAATGCGGGGAGATGCTCTGAAAGCCTGGAGGCTCGTGCAGGCATGGCTTGAGAAAAGCGGGAGAAGGATGCAGGGAGGCAAACCGGGGCTGAGGGGGGAGAGGATGGAAGGAAGCGCCTGGAGGGCACGGCTGCCATGTCGGTGCCATGTGGCAGGCCCCGGGGGGGGGGACCACCTGTCCCCCCCCTTCGGGGGGCCCGGCCTGCCATGTCGGTGCCATGTGGCAGCCTCAGGGATGGGGACCACTCTGTCCCCCCCTTTTCCCAAGGCTGGCAGATGTGGGAGGAGAGGGAAAAGCAGATGTGGGATGGTCAGGGACTGGACACTGATGGGAAGAGATGTGGACTGGGATTAGAGACAGCAAGGACAGGTCTGAGCATGGGGACAAGGTCAGCAGGTGAGGGAGAGGAGCAAGAGGGTAACAAGGCAAAGGAGGCCGGGGGGCCGGGGGGTGAGGAGTCACTGTGGGAAAAGAGAGGGAGAAGCTCAGGCTGGAAGGGATTGCGGGGGATGGATGTGGCTGATGGCCTCTGTTTTGGGGATGGAGCAGGTAGACTTGGCACTGACCTTACCTTCTGCTCAAGTAGGCATGGGGTTTTGGAGCAGAAAAAAAAGAGAAGAGGTCTGGAAGTAAAGTTGAGAGGCTGGAAAAAGCAGGTGTGAGATGAAGCAGAGACAGGGGAGGTGGATACTGGTGAGCACAGGGCTCTTTTCCTGCACAGAGAATAGAGCTGAAAGAGCTTCACAGCCTCCAGGAGCCACCAGAGCTGGGTTCCCTCCAGCCCCTGATGCCTGGGTCCTGTGCAGGGCACAGGGGTGCTCAACACCATGCTGACCTGATTCCCTTCCTTCTCCTCCCCAGCTCCTGGGAGACATCCTCATCATCGTGCTGGCCGCACACTTCACCAAGGACTTCACTCCCTCCTGCCAGGCCACTTGGCAGAAGCTGGTTGGCGTGGTCGCCCATGCTCTGTCCTACAAGTACCATTGAGCCCCCGGAAGGCAGATATGTCTGTAACAGTCAATAAAACCCCCACATTCTCAGCACCTCTTGGCGTGGTCCCGTGTCTCTGTGGCTGCCTCTGGTGTGGGAGGGAAGGAGGGAGCAAGGGGCATGAGAGGAGGACGATGGGCTCTGGGCTGCTGGAGCACCGCGCTCCAGAAAGGCGGTTGGGCTGGCCAAAGGGGGGGGATACTTTTCCTGGGTACTTGGGGTCTCCCCCAAAGGCATCAGCTTGCTAGCTGCTGCCCTTTCCTGCCTGCCTGGCGGGGCTGATCCTGGACCTCCATGCACAAAGTGATGCTGGGGTGCTCCTTACATACAGAGCTGCAACAGGGCACCTGGGGATCCTGGCCTTGAAGCTGGTGAGGGGCACGTCCCAGCCCACCCAGCACCCCGGAGCTGCCTGAAATTTTCGGGGGGGGGGGGATTTCTGACCTGTTCTGTGCATAAGGCCAAGCTCTGGGGCAAGCGAGGGTCCCTCTGGCCCTAAACGTCTCGACCTGTGAGGCATGCAAGGACATAAATTTGTAGAGATTGGCCGAAGCCCGCTTGAATTAGGCAGAAATTTGGCCCTTCATGTTTTAGTGCCGATATATTTTTGAGAAGTTGATCAAAAGCATTTCTGAATCAGCGATGAAAGTGCTCCTGCCATTGCTTCCGTGCATTTTGTTCAGAATACAACGTTTAAAAGAAGATGTGCGTGATCCCAAGAGGGGGGGCTGAGAGCAGCTTTTGAACAGGACCTGGCTGAGATTTTTTTTGCTCAGATTGGTTTGGACCTGGCCAGGCTGGAGAGTTGGGTGCAGAGGAACCTGATGAAGTTCAACAAGGGCAAGTGTCGAGTGCTGCCCCTGGGGAGGTTGAACCCCACGCACCAGTCCAGGCTGAGGGCTGACCTGCTGGGAAGTAGCTCTGCCCAGAGGGACCTGGGAGTCCTGGAGGATGACAAGGTGACCATAAGCCAGCAGGGTGCCCTGGTTGCCAAGAAGGCCAATGGCACCCTGGGGTGCATCAAGAGGAGCGTGGCCAGCAGGGCGAGGGAGGTTCTCCTCCCCCTCTACTCTGCCCTGGGGAGACCCCACCTGGGGCACTGGGTCCAGTTCTGGGCTCCCCAGGTCAAGAAGGATGAGGAACTCCTGGAGAGAGTCCAGAGGAGGGCAACAAGGATGATGGGGGGACTGGAGCACCTCCCCTAGGAGGAAAGGCTGAGGGAGCTGGGCTTGTTCAGCCTGGAGAAGAGAAGGCTGAGAGGGGATCTCATCAACACCTACAAATATCTCAAGGGTGGGGGTCACAAGGACAGAGCCAGACTCTTCCCAGTGGTGCCCAGCGCCAGGCCAAGGGGCCATGGGCACAACCTGAAGCAGAAGAGGTTCCATTTGAACGGGAGGAAGAACTTGTTGACTGTGAGGGTGATGGAGCCCTGGCCCAGGCTGCCCAGGGGGGCTGTGGAGTCTCCTTCTCTGGAGATCTTCAACCCCCGCCTGGCCGCTGTCCTGTGCCCCCTGCTCTGGGTGAGCCTGCTTGAGTAGGGGGGTGGGACTAGACGGTCTCCTGAGGTCCCTTCCAACCCTTGCCATGCTGTGATTCTGTGATTCTGTGTGGTTTAACGGAAGAATGTCACCAGAATGGAAGGATTCTGCATAAGCACATCAGTTTCAGCAATGTTTTTCCAGGAGTGACATAAAAAAGCAACAAGGCCAGGCATGCCGGTGTCTCAGAATGATGAAACCATTGTTTTGCATGATTTAGGAAGAAATTTTCTGCCTTTCTCCTGATAAAGCAGGGATTTGCACTTAGGAACCCTCTGTCCTACAGAGACCCAAAGGATCCAGCCCTGCTGGCAGTGCTGAGAACATCTGGGGCTGGGAGAAAAGAAAAGAAAGGAAAAAAGCCTAGAAGCCAGCCCAGTTTTCCTGCAGCATGCCATTCTCCTTTCAGTCGGCAAAGGGGCGTCCCAGCGTGACTTCAGGAATCATGGAATCACAGAGTGGTTTGGGTTGGCAAAGCCCTTGAAGCTCCCCCAGCCCAAGCGTTCCCCTACCCCTGCCATCCCACCCCCAAACCCTGGCCCTCAGCACCGCCTCTGCCCGGCTGTTAAATCCCCCCAGGGCTGGGGACTCGACCCCTTCCCTGGGCAGCCCCTTCCAGTGCCTGACAGCCCCAAGGGGAAGGAATTGTTCCCAATGTCCAACCTGAGGAGGGAAGACGTTCCCAATGTCTTGCTCCAGTCAGCACAACAGTGTAGTTCAGAGCCTTGGAAGGTGCCACCCAGCAGGAAAGGTCTCCTGCACGTGAGCCGCAGGCAGACACCACATTAACAACGTCACTGGGGGCATCCAGCAGCACACAGAGCCTCTGTTTGTCTGTTTATACCCCCGGGTCCCAAACCAGCAAATGCTTGCATGGTGGCTGCGGACCTCAGCAACATGCTTTCGCCCCACTGCCCGTGAACGTCTTAATCATTCTCTTCCTCCCCTCCCACCCTGGGCCACGGGCACATCCCGGTGGTGATGTGCAGCGTGTCCTGCTCCCTGACCACAATGGCCAGCACCTGGGTGGTCCTGTTGGCCTTAATCTGCAGCTAGAGGTACAGGCAAGGGGCAGGGTGGGCTGCTGGTGCTGCAGACCCAGTGTGCTCTGCTTTCCAACGTGAGTTGCCCCTCTCCCATGTGAAGCAAGAGCAAAGTTGTGACCACGAGGAGCCAAGTTGTGACCACCAGGAACCAAGCTGTGACCACCAGGAGCCCATCTGGCCCCAAAGGGGATTAGAGGGGAGCGCTGGGTGCGGGCTGGATGAATGCCGTGGCAAGCCCGGTGCTGAGATGGCCCTGCCTAGCCTGAGCCGTGTTGCATGAGCAGCTCCAACAGCTCGTTACAGGGGAAGCGGTGTCCGTGGTGCCTCCTTCCTTTGCGGCTGGGGAAGGGAGCAGCACCGAGGTGGCTCGACCGAAGCCCTTCCAGCAGCCGGTGGGAAAGCAGGACTCAAAGTTGCATCTTCAGGCCACCACGCTGTGCAGACTGTCCTCTCTGGGGAGGAGAGCCCAGGCTCACCAGCACAGTGACAGGGGCAGACGCAGTGATGGTGCCATCGGGACGTTTCTGCAGCGGCGGGGGCGGGTGGTGCTGGGATCCGTGGGCAGGGCTGGGGGCCACCAAGTGCCCAGGGGACAGCAGCCGGCCCATGTTCAGGACCTGACTTGTGCCTTGCCCTCCACTGCACCATCTCAGCGAGCCCCGGGAGCCCATGGTGAGCCCCGGCATCTCTGCATGGTGCAGGCAGCCTTTGGAGCCCAGAGTCCCTTCGAAGTGGTTCCAGCCCCCCATGGCCTGACCATGGCCAGGCTGGCCGACGCACGTTCCCATTTTGCTGTCTGCTGTCCCGCCTC